TTTTTTTAAAATTTTTATCGATTGATAAAATTATAAAACTATTCAACGGTTTTTATGACATTGATGACTTTAGGTAAGTTTTGATTAACTTTAACTCTAAAATTTTTTTTTCAGTTGATGATATAATCACGGGAGATTGCAAAATAAATTCTATAAGTGATTAAAATATTTAAATAATAATTTGCAGATTTGATAAACTCAATAACTATTTAATTTTTTGGATAAAACTAAAATTCTTCACAAGTTTTAATGTTAAGAATAGTAAAATTTTGGAATTAAATAAAATTTTGAGTTTACAGAAGTCAATGAATCGAATGTTTATAGTAAGTGAGATGCGAAAAATTAAAAGATCTTTTTTAATTTTTCTATTTTTTTTAACTGCAAATTATAAGAGCTGAAATTTTTTTTAAGTAAAAGTAAGATACAATTTTTACTTTGAGCTCTCTTTTAAGCTTGGGTCCTAGATGATCACACCTCTAAAATACCCTAAAAACCGGGCCTAGTTCGTATGAAAGGAGTTCCTTCAAGTTGAATTGTTTTGGATGGTGTTTTTACTTGACTTGCTTCAAATGCACTGCTACTTTGAGATGATGGACCTACTGATATTCATTTAAAGAAATAAGCACACAAATATTTTTTTAGTAAAACTATGTTTGACTACTGTTTTAAAAGCTGTTTTTTATTTTTAAAAATAAAATTTAATATAAATTTGTACTAAAATTTATTTTTAAAAACACAACAGGAATTAAATACACCCACAGCGTTATTGTTTTATTACTGTTTTTAGTATGCATGTTCTCTGAATGATTTGTTTTTTATACACAAAATTTGAACTTAATATTTTATTTGAGGATCAAGAATTACTTGAATATATCTCTGTTGGTACACAAATATTTAAACATATTATGTATATAAGAAGATATGTTCTTATTAACACACTTTTCATATTTTTTTTATGCTGATTATTATTGAGAAAATTTATACATATACATTGACCAATTAAATAATGCAAATTCACTCGTTATTGAAAACGAACTTAAAAATTTATTAATTTAATAATGATAATTAAAATGTTTACAAATGTGTTGCTAGTTCTCCTAAAATTAACGAAAGCCAAATAATATTTCCTTATAAAAATTTACGTGTAAGCGGATAGTTTTAAAAAATACTACTTAGAAAACTATAAAATAATTACAAAAATTAATTCAAATAAAGACGTTAACTTACTATATCTTTGATGTAGGATGCATTGGAAACTTTACTTGAGATGCTCACTCATCTCTAATCTAAAAATTAGTGCAGGTAAAATTTATTTAAAAGAAATAATTTTTATTTATTTTTTTAAAAACTTGAAAAATAATATTTGAAGTTTTTTTAAATATAACCTTAAAGACTCATAATAAAAAATTATACATATTAATTTTGTATTAAAATTTCAACATTTATTTAGTATTATAAATTTATTAGAATTTGTAATATCTTACGAGTTTTTATAAAATTTAACGTTCTTTTATATTAGAAAAGAGTTTAATTTTAATGCATTGTTAGTGTAAAAAATTGTACGTTGTGAACTAATGAAAATATACTGTGCATATGATTACTCTATAATCGTCACAAAAATCGTACAATTCTATACCAATTTATAATTGGATAACAATGTAAACATTTTTATATTATCAGTCTATTTAAATTAAATTCATTAAAAAAGCTTAAATTTAATTATTTTAATTATTTGACTGATTATACTGACGTAATATTTTTGCTTATTTTTCTCTTTTAATATTTTTAAAAATTAACAATTAATTTGACTACTACAGCTTACCTAAATCGCGAATTGAAAATGGTAAAATATTACCCAAATGCAAAAATGCCAATCAACTTTATCTTGTGTTAACGTATCAGAATTCATATATAATAAATAACATACATATGTTTTTATTGATGATGATAGTGACATGGTACATGTTTTGCAAATAGATTATTTTTTATATCAAAATATGCTTGCGTCAGTAATGACGGAATACTGACATTTTGTGCACCTAATTTGTCTTAGATATATAGTAAAAAAGTCCTTGTGCGCATATATGATGTTATAAAATATGGTTTTGTCCTGTCAATTTTTAGTGTTCACTTTAGTAAAACGATTGTATTATTGGGAGGACAGTGAGACAAGTGACTTGCACTTTTTCAAACCTCTTTTCAGTGGCTACAGAGGCAATTTGACCCTACCTCTCGCTAACAGTACCAAACTGTTACCGTACACTTTCGACGACAAAAGACACTTTGTTTGATAAAAACAAAAAATAACTATTTTTAAAAAATATTTTGCAAAGGATAATTGCACGAATCCGTACGAATTTATTTGTATGTTTTATGTTGATCAAAAATGTTAAATTAAAAATAGAATATAAGAGTTTTTTTCAACGGAAATCAGGCAGTATATATTATGGTCTGTAAACGGTTTTCATATAATAATTCATAAAATAACCTTGTTTTCTGTCACATCATTGTAACTTGCAACCAGTTCATGAAAAATAATGTTTGACTGCTCCTAAACTGCAGCAGCCACATGGTTGCCTATCATTGCCAAGGCATGAGTCTTGATCAAGATAGAAGAAAAATCAATTAAGATTGTTACAACAGACACTGTCGGTGTCCTGTTTTTATGGTCACTTGAAGAAATAGACACTCAAAGTAAGCTCATCATTCATAAAATTGTTACATACTATCTGTAACTCCCTAACTCTTCACACTTTGTCAGACTTTGAATTACAATTAAAAGTATATAATATGAATAATTAGATATGCGCCTTACGTAGGAAGAAATTCACGATCAAGACCTAAACCGTATAGCATCAATAATCTGAATAAAATCAGTTTATTCTTGCCTAAATCTGACCTCATTCCTATTTTTTATAAACACCAAATCACAGCATTCATGCCATAAATAGATTTATTGATACTTTAAATAACAAAAACAATGTTTATTAAAACATGCACTATACCTATAATTTGCAGAACTGTCTAAGGATGCAAATCAAATAATCTTGGTGTTATAGAGGATATATTAATATGATGATTGTAGTTCTGGCTATTTCTATACACTCAATTGCAAACAGTGAAACATTCGATTGAATGGTATTTCAACCAAGAAATAACCACGTCAATACCTTGTCCGCGAATTAATGTATGTATAGGAACACAGGTCTGTTCATTGTTGACGATTATTTATCATAAAGTTTTAGACAGCCTACTATCTACTAATGAATAGCTTTTCACAAGTTAGTATCATCTTACAAAATCGATTTAAAAATAAACTCTTCAATGGGGTGATTTCTATCGATAAGATTCATCCTAATTTTTTATCTGTGCCACATAAGTCAAGTCAGTCCAATGAGATTTTTGTGGCACCACGGAAATAGATGTCTTTTATCCCTGTTTTTTTGGCCTAACTTCTGTCTCGTGACATATCCACCTAAGTAACATATATGCCACATAATATCCCAAGAAATAAAATATAAAGAAAATCAGATCGGTTGATATCATGTGTGTTAAATTTGATATACATATATAATTATAAAAATAATATATATAATCACAATTCATCAATTAAATTAATTAATTTCACGTTATTAAATAACATAAACTCTAAAAGAATAATCGCATATCATGTTACGTGGACAAACACTACTTACGTGGATTTATCACGTGAAAGAAATAAAAAGGGAAGGGGAAAAACGCTTGTTCACACACGCACATAGCCCCACTGCATGGTGAAAAGAAAATAGTAAAAGATTGGAGCAGTCAGCACTTGAGCTGAAACTGTCCCAAGCAGGGGTCTTTTTTTTTATAAATAATGTGTAAAATGATGCTAACTAGATCAAAAAGCCAGTATACTTGCTCAACCATACGTCAGTCAGGAATTAACAAAAAATTAAAATTAACACTTACATTGCATATATGATAATATTATGTATAATGAATTTTTTTTCCTGCTTTTATTTTCTCTAGGTATGATTAACATCATATGAAATGGACTTTTTCAATGAATAATTTATTAAAGCTAGAGAGAGACCAAAATACAGCTATTAGAAATGAAAGAAAGTGGGACAGATATTTACAAGGCTTTAAAGTTCTAAACATCTATCACTAGCCTTCATTTTCTTTTTCTTTTCCATAATTATCGTATTAATTATTATCGGGAAAAAAAAAAAAGATGCTAGTTACAACTTGCTAAGGGCGGCTGAGGATATAAGAATGTAGAAGGAGACTTGACTTAGAATGAGCTGTATTTTCAAATTAAAACTGACTCGTCGGTCCTTGCACTGGATAATGAAACATTAATTAAACCCTTTTCTCGTTCTTTTAGTTATTGCAATTCGAGCCTCAAAAGTCATCTGTCAAACCTCAAATTAATTAATTATTTTATGAGAATTAAATTCAATGTGTTTGTGAGCCTCGTCTTTTATTTCCCTTCACTTAATTGCTTCCCCCTTTTGAAGTTGGTTTTAATATTCGATTTTACATTAGCACAAAACATAAAGGGAAAGTGCAGTTTCTTTTTCCCTGTCATTTTATCTTGTTCCCGATCTACTAGTTAGTTGGTCCTTATGCAGGAAGTAATCATCAATAATCATATTTAGTATAAATGGCTTTTTATATTTCAAAAAACAAAATTAAGGTATGACTTTTCTAGAGAGAAATAAGTATGACTGTAATCCCCAAAACATGTCACTTTCCTTTGCCGAATGGATATCTATTGTGATCTACAATTTACTTGAAGATAAAATGGACTTCAATATAAAGGTTAGAATGTTTTAATCTTTTTTCTTTAATTTAATTTACGTATCAAAGAAGTAAACGTGTGTGGAGGGAGCTAGAGAAAAATTACATCAAGAGAGAAATTTACTTTTGTATGTTACAACAAACGCTTTTGTACAAAGAAACATATTCATGCAATTAATCCTGTGAGTTGACGTGAAGAAAAATAACGCGCAATAGATCAAGTGGAAACACTTTAAATCAAAGACTTTTATCCATATATACAATTAACAAAATAATTAAAGAAGAAGCTGGAAACTATTTTACAACTTTATTATACAGGATATTCCTATCTATGATCATCCTCATTTCTTGGACAAAAGGAACTCAGTGAACTAAAGACAACTGAAAAGGCACAAAGTACAGCATCTTGTGTACCCTCAGTACAAGGGAAAACCCAACACGAAGTACATGACAAATTACCCATCTTTTACCAAGTCACTATCCAGTTTTGGAAACAACCAAGTCATGTGTTCTTCCCCCACTTCACCCACCACACCACGCATGCATTATTTCACTTTTTCACAAACCTGAATCGAACGGCACGCCACTACCAGAAATCCACGAGTCCCCAGACAAGAAATTTCCAACAGTGAATTTCACAGCCTCAGTAGGGTTTCTGATCATATGAAACCCTGGCCAGTTCACCCTGCCTCCGGCGCTAGCACCAGCTCCTGTATTCATATACTCACCGTAATAGAGGGTGCTCAAAGCGAAGTTTCCACTCCACGGAGACCAACCTGCGCACACAGATGTTTCTGAGTCCTTCAAGAGTATGCATTTCTTTTATTAAAATTATGATCCATCTCATGGATGATTAGTTCTTTTTCTATTTTAAAATTTTCCAAATAAAAATAAGATAAAAGTATTGAACTGGGTTTATTTAGTTTAAAAAATTATTTATAATTTCATTTTTAATTAAAACATATAACTTTACTTTTATATTTATTTTTTACATTTATTTATGGTCTAATTTTTATTTCCTTTTTTCTTTTATTTTTCTCTTTCTCTGTCTATTTCACACCCATTTGTCACAGTTTCCTTAACTATTAAGTGCTGTAGCCCTTAAACTACAATTTTAATGTTTAAACACTCAACCCAAACTAATACCTATTTAACATCTTTCCTCTCTCTGTTTCACTCTTTCTTTCATCACATCATTGGTCATGTCTATCATATTTTTCTACTTCTATTCTCTTATCACTCAAAGTGTAGCAACCATTTTCCTAAGGACTATTCTCCAGTTACATTATCCTTTAGGAGAAAAAACAAAGACACGGAATAAGCGAGCCCCACCTAACAAGTGGATCACTTATTTCATGTCTCTGAGGTTCAGGCCACTAAACTAATTAAGGGCATATCGTTATACTATCAAAAACTTGCTTAACCTGCAGGGTGAATCAGCCCATCAAGGGTACTCTTCATGACCACCGTCCTCGAGTACTTTTGCCATGGACGACCCAGAAACGTTTTGAAAGAACCCTGCACAGGTTTCAAGTCCGAAGCTGCAGTGACGCGACAGTTATGGATGATGATACCCGTATTCTCGTTAGGATCGCTTCTGGCTTGCGCCGTCACGGTGTTGCCCTGGTTGCTCATGGGTTTTCTCACGTAGATGTTGCAGTTTTGAAACACCGTAACGGCGTCCCCGAAAATGAAGTCTATGGTTCCGTATATGTCACAGTCACGGTAGAATTGGCGTTGGGCATAGACGTATAAGGTGTCTTGGTAGCCCTTAAAGCTACACCGGTAGAACACTGAGTGGTCGGCGCCGGAACGGAGGGCCACTGCCTGGTGCTTTTGTGGTCCCGCGCTGTTCTCGAAGGTTATGTCCCGAGCGATGAAACCCTCACCGGAAACCGCTGCAACAAACATGGATTTTAACTTTTAATTGTGAGTCGGTAGAAAATTACAACTAAATACTCATTTTAGTTTCTCAACTTGTAAATATGAACACCTTACTTTTTAGCGTTATAAAATGATATTTGTTTTAATTTTTTTATTATGAAATGATAATAAAAACGAAATAAATAATTTTAAAGAATTAAAATTTAAAATAAATAACGTTTATAATTTAAAGGAACAAAATAAATATCTACTAAAAAATATGTGAATGAAAAAAAAAAAAAGGTCTCTCTCTATATCATGCAAGTGAAAATATCTCAGCCACCGCTTCATGCTTTGTGAGATTTTGAGAAGGAAAAAAAGAGTATTTATTGTTGTTGGTTCCTGTATGTTAGTTAATTTCTTACTGTTTAGAAAAAATATGAAAAGTTTAGATATGTTTTATTTTAATTGCTTATTGTATCATAGGAAAATGACAAGAAGTCCTGATGTTCCAGTTATTAGTTTTTTTTTTTTTTTTAAGATTATCCGTAACACTTGTACAGAAATAAGTACCGCTTGTCCTTGTCTCAATGGGACCAGCAAGTGATATAGCGTTCAGTTTCCGGAGCGTGTACAATTGGACTAAAGTTAAATCAATTTTTTTATATAAAATTAATTTATGTGACACTATTTGATTTGAGAATTTGATTGATAATAAGAATGTAAAGAATTTGATTTTATTTAGTTTTGTTTATATATAGAAATAATTTATATGAATGCTGAGTTAATTTAATCATGAGCTTACCAAAGGTAGCAGAACGAAAAGTAGTGGAGCCATCTTGTACGTTATGATTAGCCGTAACAATAGTAGCACCGATTCCATCTCCAATGATCATCAAGTTCTTCACTGTCCTCTTGATATCAACACTCTCATGGTAAACACCAGCTTTGACGTGCATAACAACACGTCCTTTCCCACTCATCTTAGCAGCTGCAGCCACACCTTGAGAAATGGTCTTGTAGTTCCCAGTTCCATCTTGTGCCACCACAATATCAGCTTTTGGTGTTGTTGTTGCCTGAAGAAGCTTTCTATCTGATGGAGAGAGCCAATAGGGGAAGCCATATTGATTTGATAGCAACCTTCGCCCACCACTTTGTTTGGTTGATAATGATGATGTCAAAGACATGGTGTTGCTAATGGACAAGGAATTGCTAAGCAACTTGGAGAAGTTGCTTAACATGGAGGGGAAGTGGTTTAGGTGAGAGGGAAGGTTGAATTCATTGAAACCATTTTGACATGTTTGATGATTGGCAACGGATGCACTTTGCCATGTTAGCCTATCATTTATATTGTTTGAGTTCATGGAGCGTTTGAGTTGATAAATTGTGTCCTCATAGAGCTCCAAACAATCATCCCATGCAGACTTGGCTCGGTTGTCCTTGAAATTATTTAATTCCATGGTTGAGACAAGTTTGTGGGCTTGAATGGCTTGCTCCATGGTGACCTTAAGGGCCATATCATGGAAGGAGTATGATGAAGCATCTAGGGTTGATAATGTGTTGGTAATGCCAATGTAATGCATGCACACATGAGGGTATGGGGTTTGATTGCATGATAATTCATTGCCATGCACAAGCAAAAGAGAACAAAGAAGACAGTATCCAATGCAACAGTTGAAAAAGAGCTTATCCATATGGAAAATGAAATGATCGGTGAAAATGTTTTTCTATTATATTAGAAATGCTTGCAAGAAAAGAAAGGATTCGTTTAGAAATGTTTATGAATGAAAAGTGCTAGGGGGAAGGTGCTATATATAGGCACGAACTTGGCTTTGGTAGGCCATGCAAGTTATACATATTTGTGGGTATAAGAGCGCGGGATGTTAGAGGAACCACTTTAGGGTTTTACACTTTTCCAAAAGTGCTTGGTCATGTTATTTGAAGGGCCATGCATGATGTCTACGTGAAAATACAATGTTAGTGTTATTGCCTTACAAACTCGACAAATTAAATTAAAAATAGAGATATAAGGAAGAATCTTCTGGGCTTTATTAGTATTTGAATTTATTTTTTTTTAAAAAAAAAGCTATTGTTTTATAAATTTGACTTAGTTGAAGCGGCCAAGCCAAGCCACTAGTTTATTCTTTTTCCTTTTTTTTCGAGAATTTCTGCCACGTAAGATTTCAAAAAGTGGAAGTGATGGGCAATGAAACAATTAGATAATGGTCCATACATGGTTCTTTCTATTTCAAAATATCAATTTTAAAGACGCATTAATCACCAAACTACAATAGATATCGGCATAATGCTTTCACTGCCCGGTTGGCACCCACTCGTTGATTTAATTTGATTGTGTAATTTCATCCACGTATACTCTCATGGTAAACGATGAAACTTCTTTCAAGCCAAATTATGAGAATCTTGTTATTTCGAATTCTTTAACCAAACTTTATAACTCCCCAAAACATAGGGCATTACTAATTCCATTTCAGTTTGATATGGTTCTTTAAAGGTGATCTTGAGTCACGTTCTTTAAAATTTAGCCATATTCAGTATTAAAAATATCATGTAAAATTATATATACGTCTTCACTTAATAACATAAATTTTTAGAATAAATTATTCATAATATAGTTTGTAAGATTTTATCTGATTATTTCGATCCTCAGTGTTCTCGTTTTTCTTATCAAAGTTACATTTTAGCACAAAGTAAACTTTTGATTTATTCACACTTTAAATTCTAAAGGCTCTTCCATAAAGGAACAAGTTAAAGAGGTAAAATAAGAATCATTAAAAATACTATCTATAAAATTATTTACCCTATCCAATCATAAAAACATTTAAGTTGAAAATTGAAATTATTTTATTGAACTTAGAAGAATGACTTGCAACCTCTCTGTAAGATATTCTTAATTTACTTTAATAAACTTAAAAATGAAACTTATTCAAATAATAAGTTTATCTCAAAATCTCTTTCACTTGCAGCAATTTCTCTCGTCGTTTAGGTGTTTGTTAATTGTTTGGTTTTATTCATATAATATCGTTTTGCTCTATATTATCCATGCACTTTTTTGTGAAGGGAGAAATTTTCTCCTTTAAGCGAATAGGCATTATTGGTGTTTGCAATCAAAATTCTTATACGCTAATAACATAAGTTTTAAGCAAAATAATTTTTTTATTAAATAAGTATTTAATAATTTATTTATTCACACGCATCACAAATATTTATATATCAAATGCATTAGATACGTGGGCCTTGCACAAGGTAGAGAGTGAATCCGTGAGGAAACATATCAGAGTGTAATAAACTGTTCATGATTCATGTTTCATTTAATAACTTTAAGTTTTTAGCGACAATTGATTCATCACAGTAACAGTATGGTATCCAATAACATTTAAGAACATATCATTATTCTTCTACCAAATAAACAAAAAAAAACTACGGAAGTTGGCTAATTTAAGTGCTGGATAACATGTGCTTTTATACTCCTAAGAGATGTCATCTTAAATATGTTATCAAGTGTTCGTAATATATAAATAACGCAGTGAAAAATAAAATAAATATAAAGAATTAAAAATAATTAAGTGTTATGATCAAATAAAGAGATTCATGGGGGAAGAGAGACCAACAGTTATTAATTAGCAAGAGAAGATGTAGCTTCCGTTCCTATAGTTGTCCTAACACAGGAAATGGCTCGTGAAACTTTGGGTTTTGATTATGATGGCAATTTGCCTTTTCATAAAAACAAGACCATGAATGAGTAATTAGATTAGGTGACCGTCATGGCTACATGGACACAGTACCCTCTTTCTTCCTCCTCCCAACAGGCATTTACAGATAGTTAAAGTAATGGTTGTTGGTGAGTCGTCTACATGTTCATGTTTACATGTTGTATCCATACTTTTGTGACACCACGTGGCCCCCAAGGGCTCGTTCATATCTACCTTTCTTTAAAAAGTATATAAAATTTGAGTTACACACGTGTCAATTCGTTGGCCTCAATTTCTTGATATTCTTTGCTTCTTCAAAAATTAGTATATATATGGATAAATTTCTGTTTTGTTTTGATTCTGCGTCGGTCATTAATTGATAATTAGTTCATAATAATTAAAATGACAATATAGTCCTTATCATAATCTCTTTCATTAGGACAAAGACTACTCCAACTACCAAGGCAAAGGCATTATGAAAAGTTGTGAACCAACGGGGAAGCAACCTTGGCCACACATTTTATCCGTACAATTTGATTAAATTAATTTTCATAAACTAGTTTTAAAATTTTATAATTTAACTCTTCAGGCTTCAAAAGGTGCCTTCGTTCCTATTATCTTTCAAAAGCAATGCACGTGATTTTTCAATTTCTATTTCAAAAAAAAGTACTTGATTATCAATTTACCATCATTTAATACGTCAATTACATGTTATTTTTCTATTTACAATAGTCATTCTTTTAAACCATAGACGGACTCTGCATACAAAATTTGAATTTGATACCTTAAAAAATTAAATACATACCTCCTAAATCAATCACTTACTAATCACAATAATCATTTAACGACAATTTGTGTGAAGTGAACACTTAGCTGCAATTTATTATTCTCAAGCAACGTTATTAATTGGGAAGTTGAGCGCATGCCTTTTAAAAAGATTAGCAATTCATCATATGTTTGACAAGGATTATTTTCAAAGACTCGTTTATAAATAAACCTTCCAAAAAATTGCTTAAGTACTTATTTTTAAAAAAAAATTAATCAAAATACCCTATTGTACTTTGATGCATTGAAAAGTCTCGGCAATGGGGCATCTACTTAAAAATTCTGGTACCTATCAGATTTCAGACCATATGGGTACAACATCTTCCGAACAACTGCTGGATATTGAAAACTTTATGTTTCATCTATTTATTAGGACTTATGCTGATGTTCTTCAACATCGGGAAAGGTTTTAATTTATGTTTCTTGTCGACTCTACTGTGCTGAACTTAGTTTAGGAATAACCTTAGCTCAATTAAAATTTATAAGAAATTAGAGCAAACCTACTACATACACGAGCGGTATCCTTACATGAGATTTTGAAGCAATCATGATATGTACCTTCATAAAGTGGAGAAAAATTCTTGTACTTTATCAACCATTCTATTTTATTAGTTACATTATTTCTATGAGGTTATGTTAATGGACCTATCAGATCAAATAATTGCCGTTGTCCTGGAGTAAGCAAAGTTTACGCTAGGCATCAATCTTTTAAATTATTTATCAACTATGGAATGTGGCAACAAAGGCTCAAATAAAGATGGCAAAGAATGATTATGACTTGCTAACAAAACCTCAAAATTGACTTTATCTTCTAAATTATCGTATTGCTATATTCCATGCTGGCATAGGCATAGCCCTTTATTTGTTGATGCCTCTCTTTCCTATAGGGCACTTTATAGGCCATACAGAGGCATCAATATTCCTAAAGCATACCATGTTGAATGAACGTGATCAAATTTAATGGATGCTCGAAAATGAATGTCCTTGTTATCAGCTAATGCCTGATCACCCATATCAAAGCTTAAGTTTTGTTTCATTTAAGAGACGCTTACAATAATATAATAGTAACTTTCTTAGAACAGGGTACGGTATACATGCATAATAATTATATCCCATGTTTAACTTTCAATCACAAACACAAGAAAATCCAAATCCATTAGGGTTTAATTACAAAGTGGAAAGGATAATCACATTGAAAATTCTAGTCATTTTCGTGGACCTAATCTCTATTGGCCCATTTTCATAAATCTTTTAATAATTATTTATAAACAAGAAAATAAATTACATTTTTTTCAAAAATTAGAATTAACTTATGTACTTGACTCTTTCTAAAAAAAAATTGTCATTTATTTCTTCATTTATTCCCTTATAAATACAAAATGAAAAATTTATTCAAATTAGATGACAATTTATATGTAGCTAATGCATCATTTTGAATACAAAATAATTATGTGACATAGTTATTTTGGTGACTACTCATTAGACCACTAATAACTTGGTGTTGTCAAAGCTATTCATTTCTGCTTCGTATTTGAAGTACCTATAATCTGTGATAATCCACTCATCAACACAATCCAATAACTACGTAGAAAGGCAGATAATGTGCATGTCTCACATCTAATTTTTTTATTAATAATATTCAACAATGGATTTATTTAATATTATCATAATAATTATGTAAATAAAATTTTATAATTTAGATATTTATTAATATGTAAGTTAGTAATAGGTATTTATTTATATTTTGAATAATATATCATATATTAAAATAAAATAGAGTGATAAAGTATTGGTTAATTTTTAATCCTATGAAATTTTGTAAATTTAACCTAGTTAATGAGAATTTTAATTTAACAATTGAATTAAAAAAATAAATATCGATAAAAAAATGTTATAAATGTAATTTTGGTAACCTTAACACTGACATTATTTAATCAAGTCTTATCTTGTATTTGCACATATATGTGTGTGTAGGAAATGTATCTGAAAAGGTAAGAAAATTCGATTCTAATCATACAAATATACATCGATGATTTAGACTTTTTTAGTTAGTTGTATTATTTCTTCATACAAATTATCTTGCTCTCCCCTAATATGTTTCTTTTGTATGTGGGTGTATTAAGACATAGCATGTGTTGTGTCACAATCTGTGACAATCGAACGCGTGTCGAGTCTACATGAAAGGCGCTAAGCTTTTGAGTTTGTAATTATCACTATTTAGACTTC